GATCTGGATAGCCCACAGACATACCATAAAAATTTCTAGGACCCATAATTGGTCTCCTTTAAATTCTGCTCTTTAAAGACTAACAGAGGAGAAGCAGAGAACTCGTAACAAAATCCCAGCATGGGGAAATGACTGAGAGCAGCAGGACAGATGAGGCAATCATGGCGAGTCTGATAATGAAAGGTTTGCTTGGTGGTCCCGCTTTCGTGTTGTAACACAGTTTAACAGCGTCTGCTCTAATCAAACTGTATTTCTTCAGACTGCACTATTATAGTAAATTCAGCTGTTGACCTGTGAAGGAATCATTCACTGTCATAACTCTGGTCTGCACTTACTGGCTTCTTGAGGAAAAACAGAGAAAGAGCACCAACGAGAGGCATGTCCCCTAGCAACGGCTCCATCACCAGCCTCAACACGCCGTGGATCTAAGGAAACACAAGATGAACAATGCTGATACAGGCCGACAAAACAGACAACACACACACACACACACACACACACCCCGAACAAACATGAATACAAACCACCTGCTTACTGAAATATTCATTAAAAAACTGTTCGGGCTCTCATTAGTTTTCAGGATAATGAGGTGAGGGACTTTGTGCTTTTTTCAGAGCGCAAYGTTATCTCTTTCGTTCTTTTCTGCGCACGAAAATCTGAGCAGGTCAAACCTGAAAAGGAGACATGATTGGAAAGAAAATCAAAGACGGGAGTGAAGAGTACAAAGTGAGTCTGAGGATGAAGACAGAAACCGTCTCCCAGTGGGCTTTGATCTGTTTCTGCCTCTAAGCTCGAGGAGCCGAGCTTTCTTAATGAGCCTTTCTCACMCTGCTTCTCAGCCCAACCTGCTTCTTCCACTGCAGCAAACACACCAAGCGCTGCGGGGGAGACAGGAGGACTGCAGGACTCTGAATAATAGTGGGAGTGTTTTTGGTGTAAACAAAAGACTTTTGCTGTTTAGTTATTAAAGTGTGGGCTAAAATRTCTTTATTTAAATAAGTTGTAAAGTGACTTGATCCAGTTGATCTGTAACACACAAATACACAACTGTAGTTTTGGAGGTTTGAGCCATGTGGGGATTTCAGGTTTGTATTTGCCTCACACCAGTGGTGTTAGGCTTCTTAAAGTCACAAATCAGTAAATTTAGGAAATATTCTGACATCCTAGAAGATACGCTTGTTTGCTTTTTCRCAGAGAACTGAATCAATGCCACTTTGAGAAGCACGTGGTCTWTCTTAAAGAATACAACTCCAGGGTCGGTTCTGGGCCTCCAGTTTAACAAACAGATATACAGAAGACATCAAATAAGGTCAATACTAACTGTATTCTGCTACTTCTTTTTAAATTCAGGGGAGTATGATGAACTATAAACATCAATTTGAATGTTTTAGTGCCCACAGTTTGGAGAAAGTGGCGAAAGTCCAGGTTATGGTTAGCATAACGAGGACCAGTGTTTTTTTTTTTTTTATTGTTCAGGCTAAAAAAAACATCTCTTTCACAAAAAGGAACCCTTTGCTGTCAGTTTAGTTTGTCACTGTTTTCTTATCCGAACATGGTCTACTTTTGATACTACACACATGCATGTGACAGATTGTGTCATGACTGATAAGGTAYTAACTATTGATAACTAATGACAAAACGTCACTTCAGAAATAGCCATACTGTCCCTTTAAACTCACTGTTTGGAATGTTTTGTCTTTAATTTCTACGCTGTCCCCTTCTTGAAGTTCAATACATGCAAGTAAAGTTATGTCCTTTTTTTTCTGCGTATTCTAAAACACGTCAAACTTAAGGCCCGCAGGCCAAATGTGGCCAGCCACTACATTTTAAATGGCCTATGAGAGCTCCAAAGATATAACGTCCTGAAAGACAACATTGTCTATTCAACAATACCGCTTTAAAGACAACACTGATCATAAACTACATCTYMCATAACGCWTGGAATATTTTACCTGTGSRATGAGATGAGGAACATGACTTTTTGTGTTTAGTCAAAGTTTATTACAAACTGGCCCTTTGAGGGCAACCATGATGCTCATGTGGCCCTCAGTGAAAATGAGTTTGACAGYCCTCATCTAAAATATTGAACACAGAAAATTTCCCCAAAAAAAGTCATTATTTAAAATAGGTAAAATTATAGTTCTAACAAAAAAGAATTTCTACTCAAAATGTCAATCTGTGCTCTCTATAAACAACACGTGAGAATATTTTAAACACAGTCTGAATACAAAATATCAGATCAATGCAGTAAATTTAAAATAAGCTGATAATGTATGTTTGTAATACATTCAGTCACAATGAATGCTCAGCTGCAGTGCTCTTCTACACCAGCCATTAAATAAACTGTTTGTTCATCAGAGCTCCAGCAATAAAGGTCTCCTCAGAGGCCTCACTGCAGAATGTGTTGCAACTTTTTATTTTTTTTAAACTGCACTGAATCACATTTGGTGTGATCACAAACACTCCAGACGAGACTGAGACCTCTTATGGTCTGGAAACATCTCCAGTTAATTTAACACTCAGAGTCTTGCCTTGTATGGCACACAGAAAGAAAGACAAAGAGTTTTTTTTTTAAGGTCTGGTGATTTAAGCTTTTAAACTTGATTTGCAGGTTTTTTAAGTTAACTAATGCTGTGTTATTCACCTAGAAGCTGTAAGAAGACTGAGATGTAGTTTGTTTACATGTGAGACTGCATCTACATTTTTGGCCTGAAGCCTTTTTTTCTTTCAGCCTCCCATAAGCGTAGTGATGTCACCACTTGAGCTTTAGCCGGAGCCAGGGGAAGAGAAATCTGCCAAAGTAGGTCTGATTTGATCTGCAGCTATTTAAAGCATGGCCATAGCTCCACTGAGTCCTACCACTCGCTATAAATCGGTCAAACAATTTTAGGCATTGGAGGAGAGGCTCTGCAGTCAGAATGAACAAGGAGGGAAGATCAACGCAACGCCCACTAGAAAATACAGGCAAATTGCATCAGGTGACCCAAAAAAAAAACAACTTTGAAAATATGGACAGTGTTGAATAAAAACAATAGTTCAGATCTTTTTAAATGAGTTTCCAGAGAGAGGAAACATATCTTACCTGTTGTAGACAGCTCATACGTTTAATTTTGATAATGAGCTAATGGCTAGTCCAAGCAAGGCAAAAAACAAAATGAATTGCTGCCATTCTAAAACATAATGGTTCATGCAAGCGCTATTTACTAATCATTACAATCCCATTATTTAGGGCTACTCATATAATTCTATAGTTATAAACAACCAAAATAGCAGCAGCATTTAGCTGTRGCACTTCTGATGCCCCATCCAGTCAGAATTATTATAATACTTCTGCTGAAATAAACATGAAATACAAAACTGACAGGTGACTTTTTATTAGTTTGACTATAAGGCCCAAAAACTAAACTCTATTATTCAAGCTAAGAGAATTAAATCACTATCTAYAGCAGGTAAGATATTATTTGTACTTTTAAYGTCTCCACAGAACCCCACTTCTCAAGATCTGGTTTAGTCCTTTAAGCACCAAATTAAAATATACAACATAAGAGCTGCATCACAARGTAATTCAGCCTCAATTTAGTTTGTGAAAATATCAGTCACTTAAAGGGGACCTATTATGCAAAATTCACTTTTTAAAGTTTTTTTTTACTCAACTTTGGGTATGTATTTCTTTAAAAAAAACAGTCCTAGGACCAAAAAAAATGCACCCAGGCACATATTTACCGTAAGTAAATGTATTTTTAATGTATATTAACAACAAGTTTTATACTTCTGTCATTTTGTGATGTCACAAGCCGTACAACAACCCATCCGAACCTGGGTTCAGCCCCTTACYTAGCAACTCCCGAGTGAAGCTCCACCTCCTCAATATAAAAAGACGTCATGGTTCTTGTTGTGCAATGTGCAGCTCATTTCACAACAAGCCTCCAATAGGGCAATGGGTAGAGTGTTGKACCAGAGAGTGGGAGACCAGGGTTTGAGACCGGCACGGACACTATTTAATAACTTATTTTCATTCGTTATGAACACGTTTTCTCATGTACCTCTATTGTTTAGCTTATTAAAGCCTTGTTAAAGCCTATTTGTTCGAGTGGCTGAGGTATTTTGACCACTGCTGCTCCCTGCTCTGGTAACAGCATGCAGAGTGAGCGCAGAACAGAGGAGGGAGAGAAAAAAAGAAGAAGCTGTAACCACGACTCTGCCTCCGGGTCTCATATGGTTGTACAACGGAGCTTCTGCTATTATTAGCCATGCTAACGTAAACGCTGGCTTTGGAGGGTGGAGTTAATGTCAACAGATTTTTGGAGGGCGTTACCAACAGAGCTCATTAACATAAACAGCTCTTCTGAACAGAAGTCAGAGCAGCAGAACTAGAAAATGAGAAATTTTATCTGAGAATTATTTTGTGCATTAAATTGAACATGGTCTGGATAGCCCATAGACATTTCTACGACCCATAATTGCTCTCCTTTAACCTAGACCTGCTCTGTTCAAGTT